ACAGGGCATCAAGAACAAGCTCAGCGCTCGCGGCATAGTAAGAGGAGGCTCACTCGCCCTCTGCGCGATCAACGTAGCAGGGTGCGGTCTAGCCTACACATTCGGCAAGCGAGAAAAGGAAGAGAAGAAAGCATAGAGCTTGACAAACGCCGTCATTTGTAACATTATGTATCCCTAAGATTGTAATCTCTAAAACTATTCATACGATCTTGCAATGAGATCTATCAGGTGCAACCCATCTCAAAGACGCCGTCGCTATGCTGAACAATCGACATCATTTGCGAGATACCTTATCAATCCCACGCATCACCCCAGCCTTCCTCTTCTTCATCTGCCTTTGGCTCTTCTTTCTTGACTTCTTTCTTGGGCGGTACGATGACTTTTCTCGTTGTTCCTGTCGTGCTCGACCTGCTTCCTACTGCTGGTCTAGCGGCCTTTGCTGCTGGCGTAGCTGATTTAGTGAGACCCTTTGGAAGAGCGTTCTTCGTGGGCTTCTTCGCATTCGATTGAGCTGCCAACCATCCCGCGAAGTCTGGCTCGCCCTTGTCATCATATGACGTCGTGGATGCTGGCTTCGACACGGCTGGTGTACCCCATGGGTCCTCCTCATCTTGTGGCTTTTCCTCTTCGTCAGCGAAACCTCCCCAGTCATTGTTGAAGTCTTCTGCCTCGTCATCGAACGCCGCTGCTGGATCTGGTGATTTTATGGTAGGAATTGAGGCGGTACTTTTCGCGCTATGAAAAGTCATTCCGGGCTTTGTGGCTACAGGGACTGGTGGTTTGCTGGTTGTTGTGGTAGCTGGTGGTACAGAAGACGATCTTTGATCCGCTGCTCCATTGGCCACAGAGTTGGCTTGCATCTCGCCGCTTGTAGATGCTAACTTGTTCGTGAAGCTTGAAATGGCCCAGCCGGCCCATGAGGTATCGTTTGCAGGTGTCCCAATCCGTGGGGTAGGTCCCCCGCCAGCGGCGAGACCTGGTGATGGTAGCACGGTATCCGGCATTGTGGCCGCGAACTTGCGGATCCGTGCAATGTAGATGTCAACACTCTTCTGTGCTTGGTCGCGAATGAGCTTCTCCTTGTCTACCAATGAAGGACACATGATAGGAAGGAGCTTGGTCGCGCAGTCATCTTCCGTGAAGAGATCGGCTGTTGCGGCCAGTGCAAGTAGCGCAGCGTTCCGAGCGTGTACGAACGGGTCACGTAGCGAGCGAGAGAAAGCTGCTGCGAGGACTTTGGCTCGGCTCTGTCAATATGTTAGTGTCTGTTTTGTACATAGAATGTATCAAGACGCACGCTAGCTCCCAAGTTCCGCGCAATCTTTCCTAGACAAATTGTAGTGTTGGTCCGAATACCGGGCTGTTCATCGTTTGCCGTCTTTGCTAGATGGCGAAGAAGCTCGCCATTCACTGTTCTGTCTGATAACTTGGGTACCACAGTAAGAATAGCTTTCACTGTCTGTTCTCTCACAACCGGTGCGATGTCCGAGAAGCCAGTCACCTGATGATGTTAGTATTTCGTCCAAGACTTTGAAAGTGGCGCTTACCATCTGGGGGAAGATCTTATCGTTCACAAGCTTTTGAGGTAAATGGTCGATCATAAGCGGCAGGTTATCTAACAAGCAGACCCGTATCCCTCGATCTGGGTTTGCGAAAAGCCGTACTACAACCGGTGTTATTTGAGTTTCGTACTCGTCATCGGAAAGCTTCTGTCCGATTTGCATGACAGTACTGAATACCTTGGCACCTCCGCCTCCAAACTCGACAGACTTCAGTAGTTCAGGAAGTACCTTCATCTTGAAGAAATCCGCTGGGAAGTCGTCCGCGACCGCATCAAGCTTCCTATGATCGGTCAGCATATTGGTTGGAAATGGATTCTGAAATCACCTACCCGAGTAGCTCATTCCGCTCGTCCTCGGCTTTCAATCCCAGGTTCTCAATGTCGTCCGTCACTTGAATCAATGGTGTTTGGAAGAAGCCTCCGATCCGCTTTCCCTGATCCAAGAACTGGCCCACGCTCATACGCGACTTTGGGTTTGGGTTGAGGAGGCGTTTGTATGATTGGTGCATGCTTGGTGGAATGCTCTTCATCTGCCCTAGCTGGTCGCTACTGTTGTAGCTGCCGTTGAAGACCTCGAAGATAAGGATCCCATAGTTGTATGCATCTACAGCGTGCGTCGGGTTCTGCTTAACGACCTCCCACCCTCCTTTCGAAACCTCAGGAGCCATGTATCGTCCCGCATCTGGTATGAGACCACCATAGGTCGGTATTATGGAATCGTCCTCTTTCACAGAGCTCAGCGCATCGAAGCCGCCAAGTTTCCACTCGCCGCTCTCGCTGAAGAATATAGACGCTGGGCGGATGCAGCCGTGTATCGACGCAGCATCGGCATTCACGAATTTGAGCGTCTTCGCAATGTTGTGTAGCCCCCATTTCGTGGTCTCTTCTGTCAGACTCTTCCTCTTAACATGCCAGCTGAGCGGGCTTAGTCGTTCGGTCGCGATGTAGATATATGTCTCCGTCTCTACCGTGTCCAAGACCTTCACGACTCCTGGATGACGCAGGGTGCGTAGTTTGCGGAGCGCATTGCGAGCGAGGGGCAGGCGCGACTTGTTGGCAGTTATGTCGAAGGAGAAGATGCTACATTTCGAGCCGTCTTCCTAGCAGGCGTACGTTAGCAAGTGTTCGCGCACAGGCAGACCTCCGGGCCATACTCGCTTTGTGCCGTTGTGCAGTGTCCAGATGGAGTCGTTCAGATCGACCCGATCCCCAAATGTGTAACCAAAGGCCGGGCCTTGCGATATCGCAGACGCGACCGCTGATTTGAGAAAATTCATAGCGCTGCTGTAACCTTGGTGAATCTGTACAGCAAGCACATGCAGGTGCACGTAGAGGCCAGATGCGCCTGCCCCACCGGATCATCGGCACGTGATAGCGCGATCCACGCTCAACGCACAGCCCTGGAGCCCTAGATTCTTTCCGTCCTCAACACCGGACGACACAACAATCGGTGCACTCTCGCCTTTACTTGCCGCCTCGCATCGTTCTCTCACCCACACGCATGAGGAATCACAAACTCCGCATGGCTGCTCGCAGACTGTTCTCACATCGTCTTCTCCCGTATGTCGCGCGGAAGCGGCACCTTGTCCTAGACGCGTCTCTCCGGACTAAGCCCACTCTATTCCGAGTCGGGTCAGCGGATTGAACCACACAGCAAGTAAGTAATCAAGCACTGACAACTGACGCGGATCCCTTCTCGCATGATGACCATTGGTAAAAGGTTAGATCGCTGAGAACACTGAGATGGTTTGCCTTTGCGCCTGCTGCGTGGCCTAGTATGTCGCGGCCTTCACTGTTTGCGCGTGCTTGCCCGTTGAAGAAACAAAGCGGAAGCCTCCAGTGCAGCGAAATGCTGCCATGCAACAAACAAACTGAACAGAACGGATCCACCTCGTTCATTGTCACTTGACTTTCTCAACGATAGTTCAAAAGTACACGCTAACATTCGTGTACTATTGTAGGTACTAGCTTCTACCTCCGTCCAACATTCCAGATGGAACATCATGAGAGCGAACAACAGGCGCCTTCTGAACCTCGTCTCAAGCTACCACATCATGATCGGCCTGGTATTGTCGACAAGGAAGTCTCAGAGAAGCCCCCCACCTTGAGCCAAAGTCACGCACAGCCGCGCCGAAAGAGTGTGATATCACCGCCTCCACTGAAGCGTCAACGTACAACATCCGGCAAGCCCAACTCAACGATTCGAAAGGCAGGTCTTTCGACTGACCCTAGCGCAATCACGCACAGGTATGGAGGATGTTGAGGAATACTTAGCTATACTGACGAGTACTTTAGCTTTAATGAACACGTTGTAGCCACTTCGACTACGCAAAGTAAGCGGAACGCGGGCATAATACCGGTTTCCAAATCGTTCCCAGCACCAACTGCTCCTCAACCACATGTAAACCGGAACGCCCGCGATATCTCAGGAAGGCGCCATGTATCTCAATCAAGAAAGCCCTCGAAATCCGGTTCATTTCCTAAAGCCACCTGTCTCATCTGTGATAAATCCAGTGCCACGAGCTATAACCCGATAGTCGCATGCTCGGGATGCTCTAGATCATACCATGATAGCTGTCGAAAGCCTCCGCTCGCCCCGGGCACTAATCCGTAAGGTACTCATACCTTCATGATGAATAAAGGCTAAAGAAGACAGGCTACAGTGGCGATGCTCAGCATGCTTGAGTGATATCGGAACACGTAAACCTTCTAGCGTGTCCTTAGCACCGGCCCCCGCTAGCCACTCTGTCGTGAGAGAATTGTTGAAACCGAGATTCGCCCAACGAGCTCCAAATGCCGTGCCACCAGATCGTGTCCCAGAGGTCATTCCTGAAAAGCGCGAGGAGCCTGAGATCGCCCTAACCACTCCGAGTGCTGCCACGTCTGTCGACCTCAATAAACCCAAGGATGTTTTGGGCCCATCTCAGCCACTTGAACCAAAGCTGCTCGAGCGCACAGAGATTCCGAACACACCATCACAACGGTCGAGCCAGTTTGACAGTTCTATACCCGAGCAGCTATCAGAAAAACTCCCTAACGCCCGTGTCTCCCAACAAAACACCTCTACGCAAGATGATGAGGATGCATTGGCCCTCGATGATCCGAGCCACACCCAAAATCAGGTCCCTTTCACAGCTCTTTGCTCGGGATGTCGAAAACAGACCGCATTAGTCAAGGCTGGGGAGAAGGACGCTCAGTGGTACGTAGGTGCATGTTTTATTCCAGACAAGTCTGATCGATGTATAGTCCCGGCTGTCGCACAAAATCACGTATTGCAGAAATGGGCCAACAAGAGATACCTGAGACTCCGGATGTCAGCACCGCTCGTCGTCATGCATCACTCCTACCAACTAGCTCGTCAAATTCGATCAGTCATCCATCAGCTGCAAGACTAGGTAATCATGAAGTGGAAATATTTTCCTCACCACATGTTCCGCCCATGTCAGAGGACAAGCCTGGTTCAACAACGGCCAAGATCAGCCCCTTGTCCTGGTCCGACCCAGATCGGGCAAAGATCCTGCCGGATATAGGGAAGGTTTGTGATAATGCTCTGCCTGGCTTATGCTCCGCAGATACCCCAGCTCCAGATGCCTTGATCACTTCACAAGAAACCTCCCTTGAGCAGAGTGCGCCGATAGAAGTAACGTCGATTGCTGAAACTCTTGGCCAGAAGACTATGTCACCCAACGAGATAATACCGGAAAGTTCGTCGTCCAACAGCGCATCAGTACCACGAGTCAATGAGCCGCGAGAGCGCTCTGTCCAACCCGCTGAGATGTCAGATCTCGACGACTTAGCAGGAACGTCCGGTCCCCATGTTTTTCGTTCCGGCTCAACACATAGTTCAGATCTGATAGGAGAAGACGAATCTCGGAATGCGGCATCCACTGTTCCTGAACCTACCGAAGTGGGTACGCACATCCCGCCTGAGCATCCTTCTACCAATGGTTTGCCCGATCGAGCTGCCCCTGCAGCGGCGAAGGAACAAGAGTCGGCGGATTCGAAGTCGAATGAGACGGTTGAAAGAGATTCCAATATCTCTGAAAGCCAACCCGAAGCACACTCAGGTCCGTCTATACCAACGAAGCGTCACACAAACCGCGACTTAGCTAGGATAGCCTTGGTGTGTGCAAAAGGCACAGGTATGACCGCGTTGGAGATAATCGACTGGCTGGCTTTGAGATTCTCCTACTTGAAAAAAGGCCAGGGCGCCTGGGAGAAGAGTCTTAAGTCAGTTCTCTCCCATCAACCTGAGTTCTACGGCGTGAAGCCTTCAGGACAGCCATATGAACGGGTTGTATACAACTTCACCAGCACAGCCAATAGGGCGAAATACGAAGAAGAGTACCACGAGTACCTTCCTTTGCCTTCAGTACTGGGACCCCAGGACGGTCACGGGAATGCCAGGAAGATTACATCACAGCGTGCTGTAGCGGACAATGTCATGCAGAACGAGGAAATCCAGGATGAACAGCCAACGCAGATCAAGAGAAGAATTACCCGAGCTATCAAGAGTGCACCAAGCCGCCGGAATGCTATAACTCACGATTCTCTACCGACACCAATGATGGAGGAGGTTACTACAGATGTTGAACCAGGATACAACCCATTCGAGCGTGCCACTGTCTCACGCCTGACAAGGGCGCCTGTCGACGATCTCGAAGCCCAACGCGGAACGGACTTCCGGAGTGCATATTCGCCCGACATAGCGCCCTCAATTGAGACCATGACCTCGGAAGAGAAGGCTGCAAAGATTGAAGAGATCAAGGCCAGGCCATCACGGAAGCAATTCTTTGGAGCCAACTGGCGTTTGGCACATGTGCGAAGATACGGACGGGAGGATGTTCATGATGAAAGCGATGGTGCATGGAAGTCCCACCACATAACGGAGAGATCGACGGCGGATCGCAACTCTGCTCCGAACGATCGCGATGAGAACCAGTCTTTGTTACAGGTCTTCAATCTTCCGACCAATACTCGCCCTTTCAGTGACGGCAACGAGCTGGTTTTTCGGAATACCACGTTGGTAAGTCACCATACCCAGTCTTTCAGGGTAATAGAGCAATGAACTGACAATCTTGATAGGTTAATGGTCGACTGCCCCGGTCGCGGCAGGCATATCGAGTGGGCAAAGTGTTTGGGGGAGAGCTCACTATCAACTGAACCATCTGTTCTCGGCGCACTGTATGATCTTTTACCGCATTATACCCTATCGTTCTTGGACTGCAATATGATTATCTTTCCTTACCTATCGATTGGGCATGTGTGACGCATTCATCTTCTGTGGTGACTAAACATCCTGTCTCCGGCCCTTTACAAGACTCTAGAAGCCGATGATGGTTTGATCAAGGACGATCGTGTGGAGCGCACTTCGAACAAACCTCCGTTGCTGACAGACCCTCGCTTGGCGCCCTATGTACCCGCCAGTCTCGCCGCGCGCCTTCCATCTCCACTGCAAGCAGCCCAAAACAACGACTCCCAGACTGTGGCGCCTCACATTGGACGGACGGGCTACCAACGATTGAAGGCCCGCTTATGTCTTGCCGCCCGCGGTGGTGCAGCCCATGGCGTGCGGATGTTTCTAGCTCTGAAACACGGCCCTTGCGGCTACGCGAGCGCGTTTCAAGGCGTCAACACCAATCATTACGCGACTGCCACACCTCGACCAAACCGCGCCTCATCGGCTGGATGCCAAAACCCCACGTTGACCCTGTACGATGGCTTGCAACAATTTCGCAACCGAGTCTGCTCGCTGCGAAATGATTGACTGGGCCGCCCTCTTGCAGTGCCGTTCCCGCCGAGTCTAGCGGGGAGCGTTTCACATGGGGCGGTAGTACGGGCGCGACTACGGTCGCTGGAGTCGTTTGGGCCACTCGAAGGTGAGGCGACGAGCCTTTCCCAGCGCGATGGTCGATATTGGATTCTATTGTAAGGTTCGCGACTATGGGCAGGTCAAGCTAGCGGCGAATTATGTCCTGAGGCTCCCCTCCTCCTTCACCTGGAGTTCTTGCTTCTCTATTTTACTTCAGTCTTCACGTCTCTATTGTTCGTTATTGTTACTATTGTTGAAGGCGTGCTGCCTTGACGGCGTGGGACACTCCCTTTTAACCTTTATCTTCGTAAACTTATCTTGTTCAATCTATACGCTCTCTCTCTCTCTTCTTTATCCTACGCTCGACGCGACTGCTGGACAGACCAATTGTATCTCTCTACGAACTTGGACGATTCGATATCCTACGACTCTCTCTACACGAACCAAATGGCGCTTCTCTCAGCCGAACACCTGGCTGGTCCGGGCTACATTATCCTCAACGTTTTGCGCGGTCTGAACATCATTGCTCTCGCTTCCGTGGTCGCCAGCAGCGTGGTCATGCTGGTGAAGACCTTTATCATCTCCAAGGTACGTCTGGAAACCTACTCTTGAGACTCGCAAAAGCTCACATATGCAGTTCTTCTTCTTCGATGCCACGAGCCATGTCATCACAGCAATCGCTGGACTCTTCTTCATCGTCTCCGAATGCTCGCTATTCCGCAACTTCTACGCCCGCAACTGGCCACTCCTGAGCCCCTCGCATGGCTTCGTGACTCTAGGCTGCGCGATGATGATAGTCGGACTCAACATGCTCGGCAACATGAACAAGGAAGCCACAAGCCAAGAGTCGCTCACCCTACCTTTCTGGCGCCTACTCGTAGCCTCTGGCATCCTAGCCATCGTCATCGGCTTCTTCAACATCGTCGCGAGCTTCGTCTTCCGCGACAAGTCTCGGCGAATCACCGCCCGCATGGTCCGCTCACGAGGCGCCATGACCCTCCACGAGGACGCCGAGACGCAATCCCAATACGACCCCAAGCACAAAGCCTTCACCATAACCACGCACCACACAGGCAGCACCTCCTCGCGCAGCAACTTCAATAACAGCCCACCCCCCATGCGCACAGGCACCCCACCCGTCGACTGCGGCTCCCCTCAAGTCCCCTCCCCCACCAAGGAAGACCCAAACCGCCTCTCGCAATTCGACTTCAGCCCCCTCCGCGCCTTCCGCAACGCCCGCCAGTCCTTCCTCCCTTCCTACCACAGCCAGTCACCAGCTAAACCCAGCTTCTTCTCGCACCGCCCCTCCAGCTCCATCTACTCACGCACCACGTCAGGCGAGCCCGCACGCAAGAAGTTCTGGCAGCGCCAGCGCGAGGAGCAGGAGGAGGAGACTGCGCGCATGCCGGAGATTAGCTATCCGTTGAATGTGAATCCGCAGTTTGCTCATCTTGTTAAGCCGAATTTGGCGCATCATCCTAGTGTTAGGAGGCCTGAGGCGGATTACGAAAAGTTCTAGGTGGACTGGACTTGCAGGGGCATGAGACGGTTGTGAGGATGGGAGTACGATTACTATGATACCACTTTCTTTTTTCTTCTTTTCTTTAAGTTGTTATATCAGCATACTGCTGTACACGGCCTTGGCGTTTGGCACATTGAGACTACTATCATTTTCGCTCCAGAGGGTCTTCTCATCTGTTGAGCGAGCTGTCCTTCGTTGGAAGCGCTATTTTCTTTTCTGGTGTTCTTACTGGCATATACTCCTCTTTTAGCAATTTTCAGTATTGCTGTTTCATGACTTGGTTCTCGTTGCATCTTAGTGATATGTGATGCGCATATATATTTACATATGGTACACAGCGCTGGAGTTCGCTGACCTTTCCTGCTTTGGTGCTCTGCGAAGTTTGCTTGTCAACAGTCGGAATACGTCGGGCTGTTAGCCTTCGCATCAGCCAGTATCCAAGTATACACACACTCCGCAGACCAGAGCTGCTTCTCTCTCCACAGCAACCACAGCATCTCCGCCAACTCCCTCTTCTTCTTCTTCCTCTACTCCTCCACAGCGATCGCCTGAAACGGATCAATAGCATTCCCCTGTGGATCATAAAGCTCCAACCTCGTCCCATCCTCCAACGTCAAACTATACTCCTTGGTATAATACAGCCCACCCCTGCCCCTCCTCCTGCACGTCAACCTAACCTCGCCCGCCCTCTTCGTCCCTTTAACCCAGAAGCTGATCTCAATGCGCCCATGCAACTGGTTGATCTCGCCCTTGATCCACGGGTATTTACTCGCAAAGTAGATTTCGTCGCCGAGCTGCTCGCGCACGAGCGGGTTTGTGCGTAAAGCGTAGAGGGTTGCGGTTACGACGGAGGATTCTTGCTTTTGGTAGTTGAAGAAGGCGAAGAGGCAGGCGGTCATGGCGAGGATGAAGAGGGGCATGGTTTTGAGAATTTGTGGGGATATTAGGGGTGGGACTCTGGGAGGGGGGATTGTTAGTGGGTTGTTGCGAAGACGGAGTGTAGAGGGAGGGTCAATGGGCTGAGGATCGGTGTTGTGCACAGGTAGACATACGGTGGTAATGCGCGGTTTGGCCGGCGCTCAAGCAGTATCTCGCCATCTTTGGGTGGGGGTATGAGGTTCTCGGGTGACCAGACGCTGGTTGGTGTTTTCCAGGGTACGACGGGCTTTATGTCGCTTTGCGGTGGTGTGGTTGATGCGCGGCGGAAGGGTGCGATGCGGCGGAGACATTGGTAATTCGCTTGCGGTCGCGCGCGAAGTAGCGCTGGGGAAAGCCGTGGCGGAGGCATTGTGTTGTGGTGGAATCCCAATTCGGTGGGTTTGGAGATGGGTGGATGAGATCAGTGGATTCGGTGGTGATGATGTTTGCATGGTTTGCATGATGGCGCTAGTGGGGTATGGCCTGGCTGGACTTCTAAGTTGCTCCTCGTCGACTTCATCATCACTTTCATCAACACCAAGATGAATCATACACCCTACGCGCAGCGCATTTATGAGATAACATCTCTGATGTGATACGACTCGAGAAGACCGCGAGAACATCTGAGCGCCAGCAATAGACCGTCCCTTGCCCAATTGGATTGGCCCCAAAGTACTACATAATACGCGTCCTTCCGGAATGGATCTAGTACATTTTGACAATATATGGTACGATACACGGCGTCTTGCTTCATTGGCCTCCTCTCGTCATTCTACTTGAACATGACCGTCAGGCACAGGCCATCAAGTTGATACGAAGTACAAGCCCACCTCATACAAAAAAAACTGAACAGGTCTAGAGCCTACATTGACGCTAGGTCACTTATCTAGTAGGTCTACATGTTATTGTAGGCTGCAGGCCTGTTCGGATCCTATCTTGATTGACGTAAGCCTCTATGTCTTATCTTTTCCTTCTGCAGTCGCGATATCAAAGCTCCCCTCGAATCTCTCATCTGGTATCTCCTCAATTCATCATGTTACTCTATTTATGACATACCTATACAACCCATCCTTGAGTTGTACGCAGTAAGGTTAAGTCCCTACATATATTTGTAGCGTTAAGTCATGCTTGTACGAGTGTCGAATATAGCGCATGCCTTCAGCGCACTTGATATGTAGTCGTAGATTTGGAAGAAGAAGGTTCTTCGAAGCTTCTAGTCAACTGTGCTCAGCGGTGTGGGCGTCGCTGCCCTTTGTTGTAGCCAGTCACATGAGAGCGTGTTGTTAGCGGCAACGCCAAGCGTTGCTCTTTCTATCTACAGTGTTTACACACGTTCCGATTTTCAAGCTGCGACTCTCTCGGATACAATCGTCGCATCAGCAAATCGCCCACGATGCCAGGACTCACTGCCCGCAAAGGACCGGCAGTATCCCTGGTCCAAGATCAGGACATTGTGCTCACGACCGAAGCTGGCTTGGTAAGCGACCTTCACCTGTGCCCTGCAGTCTACAATAGTCATGGAGACGAAGCTCGCCGAGAGATCCAGGCAATGTAGACTTCTGGGTCAATGCGATGTCTAGCTGACCTTTTGCGCAGTCTGATCTGTGCATTACCATCATTGGCTCAGTCGATGACGATGGCGTCAAACACGTCACAGACCTGCTCGTCAGTTTGGATATCTGTACCAGGTCACCTTATGTGAAGGCTCTCCTCGAAGCTAGCAAGGACAAGACAGAGCTTACCTTTGGTGGTGAAGCCAAATCCGACTACGACGGTGAGAACAAGGAGGGTACCCTCATCTGGCTCGCCCATCTCCATGAGCTCTCCGAACAGCGACTGGAAGAGTTGGGCCTCTTCAAAGTCTCGCTCGTGGGAATCTGGCATGCGATATCGCTGTGGGACAGCCGTCAAGAAGGCAAGATCAAAGAGACTTTGGGATCTTGGTTCAACAAATGGTACGAGAAGAACATGGCCAAAGTCGACTTGACTGTCCCGACTGCTCGAGCCCTCGCATACCCATGCTATATCTTCGACCATGCTGTCGGCTATGCGCGCGTCACCAAGTACCTCGCCTATGAGCATGTTGGACACGTCAAGGAGCGTCCGCCGAAAGGTTTCAAGGGTCCCAAGCACCTCCACATCAACGAGCGCATGTTTGTCGGTAAGTCTCTTCCTCTTTTTTCTGCCCATCTACACGCATGTACCAGAAAACTCCGAATGCCAACATTGATTAACAGGTCCTCTGAACCATGCCCACGGAGGCCTCCGTAACTCCCTTCACAAGTCACTCTATTCGCGCGTCGGCAGAATCCTTCGTTCCGAGACTTCGCTGTGCTCCTGCTGGGATGCCACTATCGGTCGTTACCAGCTAGCCCTCACCAAGTGCGATGCTTGGCCAGTCGACGATGTCCTCAACTACTCTAGTATCGGCCAGGTCGTACGTCGCCTCAAGGCTTTCGATTACGCGTACACTGCGAAGTGCAATCGCTGCCGTAGCATCGACTGGGAGAGTACCGTACTCAAGGCGATGTCCAACACGCTCGGATACTTCAATGGCATGTGCCTTGATTGTATGGATCGTAGCAAACCTCGCGGAGATAACCTGGACGACGAGTATGAGAAACACAACCAGTCTGTTGGAGGTCGATGGGATACAAAGTGCCGCATCAAGCATGGTCAACCTACCTGGTACATATCCTGGCTCGGTCGACCGGACCTCCGTGAGAAGATCCTCCGAGGTCCTAACGGCTACCGTGTACCTGAAGAGGATTAAAGGTCTCGAAATGGACGGATGTATTTGGCAGCCTGTTCGTACACCACGCGTTCATACAACATTTTGTGGATACCTAGGTACTGCATAAGCACGTTTAGTGGGACATGCGAGCCGGTGGGAGAAGGACTAAGCAGAGATGACCCGAGAAGAGCTCAGCTCAAGAAGTAATCACATATAGCTGTTGATCACGATCAAGATACACAGCGTTCAACACATGGATTGAGTTCAAAGTGATGAAGTTGGAACTTTATGAGATTCATTAAGTGCTAAACGCTCGAACATCGGGTATCTCCATGCCTATCGTACACTCATCGTCATGCTAACAATAAAGGAAATTCTCTCGTAGCTTTCGTCAGAAAAGCTTAGTGGACACGGCGGGCGTTGCGACCGTCAGTGCCGTGCATGCGGCGAGTTCCAGCAGCCTACATAACGTTAGTCAAGTACATTTCATCAAGACAAACGATTGCTTACCTTGAGACCTGGCCTGCGAGTCAAAGAACCCCTCAACTTCATCATCATTCCGCTGACCTTGTCACCCATAGTAGCATGGCGCTTGTGGTGGTGGACTGGGGCCGCAGTAGTAGCGTGACCGTGGCGACCACCAGTTGTGCGAGTGGTCCTGGTAGTCGTGGTAGTGGTGACGGTAGTCGCGGGTGCGCGCTTGGTGGTGCGTGTCTTGCGCCCACCCAGCAGGCGGGTCTTCAGGGACGGGCGAGCACGTGTAGTGGTGCGAGGAGCGGCGCGGCGGGCAAGAGGCATGATTGCTGGAAGTTGCGTTGGTAGGTTTGGTTTGGTTGAGGTAGAGATATGGTTGTGTTGTAGAGTTGGAAGATCTTAGGATCGATAGCTTGTAATAGATAGAATGGTGTAGTGATGTGAATACACAAAGACGTGCTATAACCCCCCATCTTATACCACACCCTCCCAAAGGACCCCAAACCCAGTCCACGCAATCTCATTCCCTCCAAGTCCCTGAAATCAAGTTCTACCATGCCCAGCACCCTGCATCTGGCTGCGATCGTCTATCTCACGTCATGCAGGGACCCGGACAAGCTTGTGCCCTGGTACATGAGTCGTGGCGCATGACGTGCCCTAACAGCTTTTTACCTTGTTACAACGGCCTTGGTGTGGCTTGTTCCATGCAAGAGCGAGTTACGATGCCCGTTGGTGCTAGGGGTCTTGGAATCGGAGTGGTCGGGCGAGGCTGGATGCGGTCATAGCGCGGCGCGGCTGGACCCTGATTTTAGGGCGGGAAGTACGTCATACCTCTGAATAGCTTCATCGGCGTCATCGCTGGGTTGTGAAGATTGCGAATACGGCGCCGAGGTGTTGGATGAGATGGCAGTCGGTGGTAATACGGTACTGAGTTTATTAAGATAAGATTGTGAGCATGGTGAAGTCTGGAAAGGTGTTCTAGGTCTGATCGACTCGATGACGTCGCGACTAATGAGCTTGGTGGGGTTGCTTCAGAAGGTGCCCCGACTGCATTTCTCGTAAGTAATCCGAGCTGCAGTCTCAATCCTCTTCTCAGCTGGAGGTTCTTTTATCCTTCAAAGAATACAGCTGTCGATCATAAGGCCGTGCGAAGAGCGCGTCAAAGCTACGGGTAAGGCTGAGGCGACGTTAGCCGTTCCCACCAGTTCGTGCCAGCATCGACACATCGACCGATGGCATTCTATCGTCGATGGGCATTTCAATAGTCCCATCCTTCGGTGATGTTCCGCCTAACTCTTACCACACCAGGCTCCACTCTTGCACATGAGCGTGCCGTGACAGCCTTGTGATGTCACAAGAAATCATGAACGTCAATAAAAATTCCGCTTTGAACGGCGCTGTCCTCGACAATTACACCAACTTCACCCTGAATCAAACAACTACACTCAATTCCTTCTCTTTGGACACTTCTTTCTGATCTCGAGATACCCACAAACAACCACACAACATGTCGTCCAACAAGGGACAGTTCGAGCAGGGTAAGCACGCACAATAGCGTCCGATTACTTGCTTGTACTGACTCGGTATCACAGGCTTCCAGCCCGATGTTCAGCATCAACAGGCTCCCGGTCTCGAGTCCAAGCTAGACCCTCTGCCCAAGGTCGACGAGCTCCCAACACCCGAGGGAGGTGCTGAGAAGTACAAGGCGGCCGGCAAGCTCAAGGGCAAGCGCGCCATCATCACCGGTGGAGACTCCGGTATTGGCCGCTCAATCGCCGTTCTCTTCGCCATGGAGGGCGCCGACAGCTTCATCGCCTACCTTCCCGAAGAAGAGAAGGACGCACAAGACACCAAGAAGATGGTAGAGGAGAAGGGACAGAAGTGCTACACTTTGGCCGTCAATCTGAAGGAGAGGGCGAACTGCCAGAAGGTCATCGACGAGGCTGTTAAGCAGATGGGTGGCATTGATATCCTTGTCAACAACCACGCTTACCAGATGATGATCAACGACATCCACGACCTGTCTGAGTACGTATCACTTCCTCTTCTTGCTGAGATCACATACTAACAGTGCACAGGGAACAATGGCTCCACACCTTCGACACAAACATCCACCCCTTCTTCTACCTCTCCAAGTACGCCCTCCCCCACATGAAGCGCGGCGCAACCATCATCAACAACGCCTCCATCAACGCCTACGTCGGCCGCCCCGACCTCCTCGACTACACCTCCACCAAGGGCGCCATCGTAGCCTTCACCCGCGGTCTGTCAAACCAGTACGTCGGACGGGGTATCCGCGTCAACGCCGTTGCGCCTGGTCCCGTCTGGACTCCTCTCATTCCTGCTACCATGAATGACGAGGCTATCAAGCAGTTCACTGCGCCGATTGGCAGGCCGAGCCAGCCTAGCGAGATTGCTACTTGCTTTGTCTTCTTGGCTAGTAATGATAGCAGCTCGATTAGTGGGCAGACTATTCACGCCAACGGTGGTACTATCGTTAACGGTTAAGCAAATGGCGCTGTTACGGTGTCGGTTACTTTGACGCGGATGATGCATCTTACGAGTTTACGAGCATGTAATATAGTCAAATGAATGAATTGTAATACACATGACCCTAATCCCCATACTTTGATACATGGCTATATCCTCTGCTCGTTGCAATTTGACATGATGTCCTGCCACCGGTTGTCATGTCTATCCCTCGACTCACTTCTACTCATAGTAAGATATACTCATTACAATCTTTGCATTCACAAATCCACTATGGTATCTAAGCCTAAGCAAACCAATTCCATCATATAACCCCACAAATCTAGCTCGCAACCTTAAGAGTGACTCGCAGCCCCATCCTGCCTCGGCGTAGGCCCCTCCTTCATCTTCTTCATAATATTACTCAACTTCCCACCTCCACCACTCCTCCCTTCAATCTGCGATCCAGACACCGGCGGCCCTTGATACGCCGTCTTGCCCGGTACCGCTGACTGCCCTACACCCGACTGAGAAGGAGGGGGTGGTGCAGCTCCAATCGTAGGTCCTTGTGACTGCGGGTGTGACACCGATGTATGGTTCCCCATGTGTGGTTGTTGTTGTTGCTGCTGTTGTTGTTGGGCAGCGTATTGGCGGGCGCGTGCGGCTTCGATTTCCGAGCGGCCTTTGTCGATGACGGCTTGGTTTTTGGCGTGCGCGGCGGGGTTGCGGCGGTCGAATGTGTCGTTGAAGGTTCCGCGGAGGGTTTCTCCTGCGCCCTGTGGAAATGTATTAGTATATGTACGCATGGAGAGTGGTAGGATGTGAGGTACTTACGTGGATACCCGCTGCTGCTGCCTTGAGGTTTGCCATCGTGCTCTGCTTGTTCAGATCATGGCCAGCGCGGTATGGAACCGGGCGGTCTGAATCATTGACGTTGTTGGTGTTGATGCCGGACTGTAGGCTAGGGGGTATGCTGAATGGCTGCTGGTTCGGTACGGGCGGCATGCCGGACTGCTGCTGTTGGTATGCGGGCATTTGAGGGATGCTCGATCGCCGTGGCGGTTGCTGTTGTCCCGGAACTGGAGGTACGGGTGGAATGCCATCCTGATGTTGTTGAGAGTCCATCCGCTGGTGGTCTGGATGGATGCCATTCCCAGGCACCTGTCGTGGAACTCCTTGAGGTGGTGCTCTCGCAGGGTAGGAGAAGTTCGCACGGTTCGGGCTGCTGGGAGTGACTGGGCTGACAACTTCTTCCATCGGGTTCGGCCTCTGAACTCCAGGCGACACCGAGTCCAGCTCTACCCTATGCCGTATGTTGTTCTTCGCTGGGATGGGTGGAGACGAAGGGCCGTCGGTGTTGGAGACTTGTGGAGATAGTCTGTTGCCTGGCTGGTTGTTGCTCATAGGCACTGGCGGAGTGATGTTTTGAGGTATAGCAGACTGGGCTGAAAGACCGGGTCCTTGATGGTAGTGGTTGTCCGGCTGAGGAGGAGCTGGCTGTGGTGGGCTGGGACCAGAAGTGTGTACGCTTTGCTCGGACGGAGCAACGCTGTCGCGGGGCTGCTCTACAGTGGTGGAGCCACCTGGGCCGGTTGTAGTGGTCGTCGTCGTTGTGGTGGTCGTTGTGACGGTGACGATGTTCCCTGAACCAGCATCGCGATATGTCTCTCTGCCCACATCTTCATGGCTCGAACGACTCTGAAGCGTTTGTTGCGTGTGCTGAGGGGGCGCAAGGGTATTTTGGTGTTGCCCGTTCGGTGGTGTAGTATGAGCGGGAGGTGCTTGGTTGTTCGTAGGTGGATGGTTGTACTGTTCACCGGAGATGGGACGAGCTTGGTTCTTGAAGCTCGGATCTGCGCTGCTGCGCTCGCTACTGTAATACGCCGAGTCGGCATCCCTGCGCGCCTTTTCCTTTTCTTCCTCTCTGTGAGTAGGGTTAAGACTATCTTTCGATGCCTTCTCTTTGGAAGAGAATGGATTGGACATGCGCCATTTCGATCGCTTCTCCTTCTCAGCCGACGTCATGTTGTCGGAGCCGGACATGGGTTGCGAGGAATTGGCTGCGGGTTGACCACTCAAGCCACCGGTCATCTGCTCAAGCTCCTGTCGTTCGCGACTCTTTCGCTTTTGAAGTTTGGCAGGCTGTCGGAAACCGTCATCCATTGCCAGCGGTACACCCAAATTCGGTTGACAGGTGGGACCCGATTACGATGAGCACGTGGAGAGCAGGTCTAGGGAACGGTGGTCGAAGCTCTTGACCCTGGAATAAGAAAATACTGTATGTATAACAAACAGTATGTGAGTATGTGCAAGGTGCGTCAATGTCAGTAACGGGGGAGCCTTTGTATCGAGGACGAAACCCGAAGCAAGGCCTCTCTGTCCGCTGGAGACCCCATGATATCATACCGTGGTTCTGTGGCGCAGGGGAAGTGTGGCACCCAATTGGGACAGCCAGCGGGTGGCGATCAGTGGAAAGACGGCTGACAGGCAGGGATCTTGACGCTCGATGATGCTTGAGGGAACCTTGCGAACGAACTATCCAAGTTTGCGGTCTAAACTATGCTTCGCGCGATTAGCCCATTCGGAGTCCTATTCGCGTCGTGGGATGTTCACAGTGTACTCGAGATGAAGCGCTTAATTGATGACTGCTTGCGGGATGAGATGCAAGGCTGTTTCATCATGGGCCATGTTCGTGCAGCGCAGCCGGGGCGTGCTACCCCGCGCACTCAGCCGCAACTCAGCCCGCTTCGCTCGAGGCATCAACAGACTGAAGCTGCTACAATCACATCGTTGTCACCATGTTCTTGCACATTTCACAACTTCTCTCGAAGCCATCGTCATCTTTTTTCCAATATGCTTAACAACCACATCTTTCCGTAGCTGCACGTAATTCTATCATGGCCGAGGTGGTAGGCCTAGTCGCCAGTGTCGTGCAGCTGGCTGGCGCTGGCTTGAAGCTGTCCCAGACGCTGTACCAGTATGCCGATGGTGTGGCTTCTGCCGATCGCAGAATCAAGGATATCGCGAACGAAGTCAAGCTCACAAGCTTCGTCATCCAAGAGCTGGGGGCCATCTTCGAGAGAGACGAGACTGCAAACTTGATTTCAGAAAATGCAGTCAGGACGGCGAACGAGACGATCAAGGAATGTTTTGCGGTTTTCACAGAACTTGAGTTAAAAATCAACAAGGGCAAGCCAGGGAAGATGGGTCGGCTGATGTTACCCTTCAAAGACAACAAGATCGAACTGCTGCGAAATCAGATCGATAAGCTCAAGAGCACGCTGGAGCTGTTGATGCAGGTGCTCATACACGCCCACCAAGTTTCATCGGAGAAGTACAACCGCGAGGCTGAAGCGAAGCACCGGGAAGAGATCAAGCAGTTACTCGAGAACAAGAAGCAAGCCACAAAGAAGTACGAGGAGTCGCTGAGGAACTTTAGTATCAGCGATGGCAGCACTGTCGTAGATGAGGGTGATCGATCGCTACAGGATGAGGTCGACGTTGGTTCGCCGTCTAATCTCATCAACACTGCTTCAGCTATTGGCTCTACCATCAACCCAGATACGCTTGCAACATGCGTGGACCATGTCCGAAGCCTGTTAGCAGACATCGAAACTCTGCAACTTGCCTTGACCAAGCAGGTAGATGGAGACGATCATGCCGATCACCATCAGAAGGCTATCGGATCTTACTTCCTCGCTCGCTCTCATCTCGACAGTGTGCTGCTTGGTAATGCTCAAGCCAAAGTCACCGATACATCAAGTCAACCATGGATCAGCAAGACGAGCACCCAGACTAGTGTATCTGCTACGTTGAATGAGACGGCAAAGGATGAAGATGTCAGCAGCTCTTCGAGTAACGAAAGAGCACGAATAGAGTTCGAGATGTGGCGAGTGAGAGAGCGAGCGAAAGAGCGAACAAGAGACCGAGTTTCTGCTGAAGTCAACCGGGGGTCGACACCCGCCAGCCGTCATCTTGAGCGGGTAGCAAGAAACCAAAGGGCCAAGGTTGAGCATAGAAGCGGCACACGGGGTTCAGCCCACCGCCCTCCATTGCGCGCGGAAAGCGAAGATATTCCCGTCGCCGTACCTCCTAGTGCAGATTATATGCCGTCTAGTTACCGTGAGGAGTATGCACCTACACTCCGAAGGACCAGCAATCGAACCGACCCAGAAACGGATGGAGCTTCAGATGGTGAACTCGTAACCGAGGTGTCCGATCAAACTGATCGACCTGGAGCAACGCATTCTCAGCTACAGTTGAACAATGAACGCTCCCATGCGGATGATGCTCAGCACCCGCTTCTAAGCCAGGCGAGGCTAGCGAAACTAGAAGCTCGCGCTCGAGATGAGAGGCTTTGGCAAGAAGAACTACGTAGAAGAGAAAGTTCCAGTGCTCCTGAAAGAGTCAAAGCAACCAAAAGGCGCGATTCTCGTCGACCTACACAGTCTCAGCTATCACAGCCAGCCCGCGATAGATCGCCTTCGTCGTCGCTCGGATACTTGTCAGAAGAAATTAGAAATGGCTCATATGCGTCTAGCAGGCGCGTCCAGGAGGCTAAACGAAGTCCTAAGAAAGACAAGGACAAGATCGAACACGATGGACCACCGGCCGTAATGGCCTCGTGCGACGATTCATCTGAAACGAATGAGCCCAATCAGAGGGAGAAAGCGATAGCAAGAGAGCAAATGCGTAGGAGGAGGAGAAACCACCGTGAACGAAAAGAGCGAGAGGAACAGGAAAAGGCACGTAGGGAATGTAAGTATAACCTCAACTTGCAAGCACACAGAAACCAGGAGCTGCACCTTTCGTATCGCACCATTGAAGAAATAGGCCTAACGTTACCATCAGATATCGAAAAGCTGAAGATGCCAGAATTAGCAGAACAATCTTCGACTCACGCGGGCAAGCCTGCTTCTGCCGATAAGGTTGCAGCTGACCCCCAGGACGCCGCTTTGTACTCCATAGACGACCGCGTGAACCAGCAAATGGCTCTTCTTCTTGCCAAGGAGGACCAGCGATCCAGCCCTGACTCCAACTGCACTTTCAGAATAGACCTACCAGAAGACAAAGACGCCTGTGACTTTGAACCATCCTCATCGAAGAAGAGCAAAAATAAAACGGGCAACAAAATCGAACAGACTAAACCACTGGTGTCAACGAGCAGGCGCCACGGTTCATTTGAAACGCAGGTTCGCTCTCATAGTGTGTCTTCGCGAGGATCTGATGTTGACAAGGAACTGGAGAGAGTGAAGGCAAGATGTGAAGAAAGAAAGATGGAACACGATCAACGACGAGAGCAAGAGAAACGGAAAGATTCGAACACGGATTCAACTTCGACTCGTAGTAGTGGTAGAGTACCCCACTGGCAACGCGCGTCGTCGGCGGCGTCAAGGACACGCAAGTCTATTGATCGCAACGAAGACACCCCAGAGTCAGCAGGCCCAAGAGGTCGCATCGGCGCAGCTACCAGACACCATGAACGGTCACGCTCCCGCTCTCGTGTCCTGGTCCGCGTTCGTTCTGGAGTTTGGGAGTTCCAGTACAAGCCAGCAGAAGACGGTAGCGACAAGCAAGAAGAGGGTACGGATCGCGAGTCGGAGTCGAACCGAGATGAGGAGAGGGCAAAAAAGGAACGAATGATGAAAGCGGCCTTAGGAGGTGTGATGGCCTACCAAATCGGCCACCGCAAGCTATCGCCTTCTCGCTCCCCTCGTCCCCGTCCCCCTCGTTCCCGCTCTCCTCAAAACGACCGAAGCTATGATAGGGACTCTAGCAGCTATGTTAGTCCAAGCGAAAAGATCGAGCGTGAGCAAGAAGGAGATGGGATCGATCAGCTAGAAGAGGAAACGCGGCGTGTTTGGGTGTTGGAGGGAGAGAACAAAGGGGCGGAAAGGGAACGACGAAGGGGACCACTCTGTCTTCCACAGGCTATCCCCTGTGCGGTTGACACAAGCAGGAAAGGCGAGCAACGTAAGTGTCATCCGAAGCTTGCAGAAACATTCATTGCTCTCCCCGAGAGACCAATAGCAGTATTACTAATGCCTATACCCCTAGTGAGAAAACTACCCCACGGTCGTGAACAGCGATTATTACAGCAGAGACAAGAGAGTTCAGAAGAGCACTCTTCCCCAAGTATTCAAGAAGACACTTCAGAAAGTGAAGAGGCCGAGGATTCATGGAGTTACATTGATGAGACGGAAAAGGTGGGCCGGGTGGACGAGGTGGATGAGTTACTGAAGGAATGGACTACTCTGCTTGGATGATGTGTGATTTTCGACATAGCAATCAACAAGAGTTATATACGTTACTGCAATATTTTTGTATGCATCAACTACATATGTTTCGTATATACTTCTCACATCTACAGTAAGCATCACGTCTGATCCGCGATGATGAAGGCGAGCGGGCAGTATGTAGCACAGCGCGCACTACACAGACTATCTCTCATCACCCACCAGCGTCATGACCATCACTCCGTATCCGCAGTTCATCTAAATGCAAGCCATCCATACTCTCTGAACCCATCCCTACCCCCTCCGACCCTCGCAGACTCAACCTACATCTCCCGACATCGCCCTCCGATATCGAACCACACCAAACGCGGTAACCCATCCCATCCCTTCCCTTCCACTTTTCCGTTCCGTGCCTATCCAGCCCGACGTCTCCAGGGCTTTTCCGCACATCGGCGCGCCCACGGTGCGACGCGACACTGACGCGCCGGCACATCACCACGGTTCCAGTTCGCCCGTGACAATTTTGCAAGACATGCCCGTACCACCCACCCACCCCCATCCCGGCGCACCATGACAAAACACATAACATAACCCACACGCCGCGGGCTTGACTTGATTTACCCTAACCAAAACCAGTAATAAGCTATCGCGCCCCAACTCGCATTTGGCGTGTGGGCTTTTTTGCTTCTTCGACGTGGACGTGGACGAGCAGTGAGTGGGGTCGGGAATCTTTTGCGTTGCTTTTTTGGCGGGGCAGGGGCGCGTGGAGGGGCGCCACGCGACTGCCACCTGCTTGAGCCCTGACTAGGAAACTTTGAGCGTTGCTTTTGTGGTGAGTAATTTCTGGGTGGCTTGGTGACGTGATGGCGTGATGAATATTCCGAGTCGTGAAATGCTGAAGATTGGGTTAGGATCGTGTCTATTTTGGATAGCTGTGTCTTGTTGGGAGTTTCTGCGTGCGGGTTTCTCCGGTGTTCAGTTGCAAAGTGATACGCGTGTGTGAATGCCTTGCTTGGTGGTCTGGTTCAAGTAGGAGTGATGCGAAAGAATGTGGTGAAATATTTCATGATTCTATTCATGTAAGGTATCTATATACAAATGGAAGCTTCCAGCTTCCGAACGCCAAAGACAATGAAGGTATCGTAAGGTATCATATACAAAAGGCAATCCGCTCAGCAGCGAATTGTTCACCACCAGTCACCCTGGTCGTGCATGGCGGCAGCGACCTTGCGGAAACCAGCAACGTTGGCACCACCGACGAGAGATGGGAACTCGCCCTCGGCAGGGGTGAAGTACTCCTTGGCGGTACCCAGGCAGTTCTCGAAGCAGTCCTTCATGATGCCCTTGAGCTTCTCGTCGACCTCCTCTGCGGTCCATGACAGACGCTGAGAGTTCTGGGCCATCTCGAGACCAGAGACGGCGACACCACCGGCGTTGGCAGCCTTTCCGGGGGCGTACCAGATAGCCTCGCCCTTCTTCTCGCGACGGTGAGCCTCGAAGACCTCAATAGCCTCCTGTGTGCAGCCCATGTTGGAGCCCTCAGCGATGAACTTGGCACCAGACTCGATGAGAGCCTTGGCCTCGTCCTCGGAGACTTCGTTCTGGGTCGCTGAAGGGAGAGCAACGTCGACCTTCTTGACCTCCTTCCATGGGCGGGCACCCTCAATGTACTTGAAGCTGTGGTTCTCCAGAGCAGTAAGAGCCTTGCGCTCCAACTTGAGGGCGGCGATCTGGTTGATGATCTCGGGGGTGAAACCCTTGTCGTCTTCGGCGATCAAAGCGCCCTTGCTGTCGCTGAGGGAGATGACGGTTCCGCCGAGCTCGATGATCTTGAGCGCAGCGTACTGAGCGACGTTTCCGGATCCAGAGAGGGCGACGCGCTTGCCCTTGAACGACTCCTTTCCGCCTGAGGCGTAGTTGATCATGTGGTCAACGTAGTATACGAGACCGTAACCGGTGGCCTCGGGACGGATCAAGCTGCCTCCCCATGAGCCGCCCTTGCCAGTAAGGACACCCTCCCAGCGGTTGCGCTCTGCTCGGTATGCGCCGAAGAGGTAACCGATCTCGCGACCACCGACGCCGATATCACCCGCAGGTACGTCTGTGTCAGCACCTGTGATTTACGTAAGTGAAATGTTCCTAGTGGAGAATCAAGAAAGCAGCGCGAACGTCGCCGACGGGGCAGTGCCAGACAGACGGGAAGATAAGGCAAGATAGACCCGCCAGATCTCGTTGGTCTGCTGTCGGAAGAGCATGCGAACCGCTGAAGGTGCATGCCCCACTGAGGCTGGAGTGAAGGGACGCGCTAGGGTCAAGACATACCGATGTGCTTGTTGAGCTCCCTCATGAAGGCAACGCAGAACTTGCGGATCTCGTTATCAGACTTGCCCTTGGGGTCGAAGTCGCATCCTCCCTTACCACCGCCCATGTTGACTGTAATGCATTAGCTTGGTGTTTGTATGCGTTCGACTCGGGTATGACGTACGGCCGGTGAGCGCATTCTTGAAGATCTGCTCGAAACCCAAGAACTTGAGAATGGAAAGGTTGACGGTAGGGTGGAAGCGGAGACCGCCCTTGTAGGGACCGAGAGCAGAGTTGAATTGCACGCGGTATCCCTTCTGGACCTGGCACTCGCCCTTGTCGTTCTCCCAGACAACGCGGAACTGGATGATGCGCTCGGGGACGGAGACGACCTCGAGGGCCTTCTTGTATTCGGGGTTCTTGGAGAAAAGGGAGGAGGCCTCGAGGGTGGAGACGAGCTCTGTGAGGTGTTAGATGTGTTGCAGATGTGGAGGCGCAAACGTACCCTTCCTGGCTTGCTCAAACTCGGGCTCAGACATTGTGATGTTGTGTATCTTGGGGACTGAAAGAAGATGTGAGGTGATGGAAATTGACACAGTCGAAGAGTCACAAGTTGATGGAGAGAAGAGGCAGGAGAGAGTGTCTGGTATATATAATTGCAGTCGGCGCAAGCTAGATAGTTCGCTGGGCCTGCGGTGACGGTGCGGAACAAAGTCGCACTCGATTTTAGTACGTCAGAGGCCGGGAGATTGGGGTGCTGGACCCGTCTCAGTGGTCAATGGGGTCTACTGCACGCCATGTTGATGCAAACCATGGTGTGCACTTTTTCTACTGATAAGGATCTGGCCAATGGGCGGGCGAGGACAAGTATCGCGGGGTGGTTGCACGTGAAGTAGCGGGGGCTCCGGCCACTCGAGGCTCGTGGCGGGCGGTAATAGTCGAGAGTCAAACCATGGGAGGCGACGCGATTCCGACGTCGGCGGGCGCGCGAGGGAGTCTTGTTACGTTGAGCTTTCGCCTAGTAGCGTGTCAGGGTAAAGAGAACACGCAGGGAGAGTGGGAGAAGCCGGAATGTGGGCGTGAGCTTGGGCCACGCAGGATTGTCTTGGCGAAGCGGCCGCTGGCGACCTCCTGCTGCGGAGATGCCGGACATCCTCACCTTTGTATGCGACGTCAACCCACAAGCTTAAAACCTATACGATATAGACATAGCCTGTCTGCGACATTGCACTGCCTCAATCTCTACCATCGCGCCCTCCGTCATGCGCATATGCGCGCATTGCAGTCATTGAGCTGCAAGATCATGATTTGAGACTCGATGGCGGCGTCACAATATCGACATAGTCATGCATCGGAAATAGGCATAGATGAGCATGCTCCATTTCTACATTTGGTGGCATGTGAAAGAAATCGATTTCCCACCCTCCACGCGCTGACCCCCACGCCCGACATCTCTGCCTCCACACCGAGCACACTCACGGGCAATCGGTAGGGTCCCAATCTGGAGAAAAATTGCACGTCAGTAAAAGCAGCGGGATGAGAGTATTGTCATGGCTGCGTATGCCAGGCACCCAAAGGAACTCACCGGTCACCAGGTATTCGTCCAACCCGTCCATTGTCTCCATGTCGCCATCCTCGATTACGAAGCCTCCAATCTCCGAGTTCTCGACGATTCGCTCCTTCTTCACACTCTTGGGTAGCGGCACGTAGCCGTGTTGCAGACTCCAGCGGACCAAGAGCTGGCCCGGAGTGCACGAATACTTCTTGGACAGGGCCACAATCTTCGGATGCTTCATGCGCAAGGCTCGGACCAGCGGCGCGTATGCCTCTACGACAATGTTGTGCTGCTGGCAAAAGGAAGTAATGTCCTTCCGCCTAGTGTACAAAGTCAGCATAGTTGCGCATGCAATGCAATCCCTTCAGGGAACTCACGTATTGAACGGGTGAACTTCGATCTGGTTAACCGCTGGATGAATCCGGGGATTGGAGTCCAATAGCTCTTGCAACTAGCATATCGTCAGTGATTGACCTCGGCGACGTTGAATGTTCGGTGACGCTCATGACTATACTGAAGAGTCCAATGAGGGCGACTACAACGACTTTCCTATCCTGGGTGTATGTTCGCACTAGAGACTGAATACGGGCCTTCCCGAGACAACTAAAGCAAAAAGACGGGAACCAGGGTCTACTTACATGTTTGACACCATAATTGGAGACGCCTCCAATCTTGACTTCGCCGTCGTTGATTGCGTCTTCCACCGCTCTCCAGCTGTCGAGACGCGCCTGCTTGCCGCCATATGGGGAGTGCAACAGGAATAGATCAATGTAGCCAAGACCCGCCTCCTTGACAGATCTCTTGATGGCTTTGCGGGCCGTTTCGTATGCGGAGTTGGACGCTAGCTTGGAAGTGTAGTGGATGTCTTCGCGCCTGAGCGACTCGGTGTTTGCATCACTTGCGAGAAAGTCAGAGATGGCTTTGCCAGACTCCTTCTCGTTATGGTACATCTGAGCTGAATCGACTCTATGTACGCGTCATCCGTCAGCCGTGTGAAATCTTGGTCTCGTGATGCTACTCACGCTCGATAGCCAGCCTGCCGTGGTAAGCATTGTGGTTACTGATCATCAGGAACGGCAAAAGCATACCTCGAGCGCCCACCTCACGGCTTGATAAGTCTCCTTCCCGGACGTCAGATAGACGCCGAGATGAATCGTTGGCATGGACAGGCCAT